AGAGAGAGAGAGAGAGAGAGAGGGAGAGAGAGAGCGATAGAGAGAGCGATAGAGAGCGAGAGAGAGAGAGAGAGTGAGAAAGTGAGAGAGAAAGAACAATCTGCCATATAACTACAAGGCCACCGACGCCACTTTGTAAAAAGAATGTTGTATATTATACCATCTAAACAGGGGCGTGCACAATTTTAAACTATTATAGCAGGTTGAAAATAGTCAAGGGCATAGTAAATGAGACTGTAGGATCTTTGGGTTGGTGAAGGAGGACCTTATGCTTTTGTTTTCCTTCTTTTTACTTGTCGTTTTGATTTCTAGAACTGCATGTAAATCTGTTTCTTAGCTAATGATCAATTTCTTAATCATGCATTGGAACTGAACACTCGAGTGATAACTTTCACTTCTCCACTACAAAACCATTCAATGGCACAACTCACAGGACGGTGACTAAAGTACTATGTCACCTTCACCTCCCTCAGGTTCACTGTCACAGAGTTACTTAAAATAGTGGCAAGACAATGAACCAATCACAATTCACCTAAGAACTCTATTTAATTGCTCCGGGGATCACGTAATTTTGGCATAGAATAGTGTACAGCCTATAGCGTTTGTTTTTTAGACTGCTTGCTGTGGGCTATGTTTCGTGGATGCACATTTGAGATGTGCCGTCTTATTGATATGAATATACCGCCAAACTCACAAGTGTCGTCATCGCTTGGGTTATCCCAAAAGAGAGATTTGTAGGTCAGGTTACCACTTTTGAATGTCCTATTATTAGTTAAAGCGTGATGACTTTGGCATGGCATAGTACATGTTTTACCGCGCTTTTGGCGGCGCCAGCGAGTACCTTGTTTTGATATAATATTTGTTTAGTGTTTCTTTCTGGCTTCTTTTATTTCATGTTTGTGGGTAGTTTCGTAGTAAATTATTAAAACATTTTGAGCGGCACTGCGCAACTGTGCTCTAAGGTCGAACCGCGGCTGCATCTAAATAAACATCATGACAATTGACATACGTTTGTCTTAACCTTTCCACCTCACGTTGAGAAGTCACCCAGCTTCAAATACTATTTGTTTTTTATTTCTTGATTTTTATTGTTTGTTCGTTTCTTTGTTTTTAAGCTCGATCTACACAGAGGGCGCACGGGGTTTAAACGAGAAGCAAATTACGACATACCACATGATTTGTTTTTGTTAGTATTTTACGGCGCTCGCAACTGCATAAGGTAATAATTTATTTGCGCACAGGACACTTGTAATCATTTTAAGTTAAAAGGACATTTTGAATTTTGCCCTGGTGGGCAGCCGAAGCCTACTCTTATCGATTTTATACCACCAATGAATCATTAACGTGCGCAACTTGCACACGGGACCTCCGAGATTTTTCGCCCTTGTCCGAGAAGGCTAGGCGAGGACCTTTCCTTCCAGAAGATCAGAGGTGTGGCTGAAAGACCGTATTATTTGAATACAAGTTTGAAGTTTTTAGAAATATTATGTATTGAAGATTTGCCCTGAAATCTCGAGGATATTAATCCAATCCGTACGTCCTGGGGTCATTTTGTTCCCCCGAGGTTGTATTCTTTACATTTTAAAATACTTCTAGTACTAAGACCTCTTTGAAACTTTCAGTATTATTCAAAAAATCATTTTGACACACTAATATGCAAAGCGTACGGATCGGATTAACGAGTAAATTTCCTCTTTGAAAATGGTGGCACAGAGTTTCCCACGTCGTATGGATACGATAGTAAAGCAAGACGTACGCATAGAGTTCAGAATCTGGTTCAATTTTTATTTCAGGCCAGTTCACGTGCCAAAGTCACGTGATTCGGCAGCGGTAATTGATCAAACTCTAATTGGGCAAATTAGTGTACAACCAGGAATAAAAATCCGTTTTTAACTAGAGTCCATGTGAAAGTTTCTTTTCTTTTACCACACCCAACACCCAATTGCTAGACAATCACTACTGAAAATAGATCTGATGTGGCATCTGAGGCATTATAGGATAAAGGTAGATTACGGTATAGTGTAAATTATAGGACAAAAGGATAAACGTGAAAACTACTATAAGTACCAAAATGCATTTTCCAGTAATCCCTTTGTTTTCTTGTTGACGACAATAGAAAGTAAAAAGGAATTTGTCTGATATTCTTTTTAGATAAATCCACATAATAGTTTTGCTCTACATTGCGGGGTAATAAAAGAACAACCCATTTTCAGCTATATCCCCATTTTAGTAGCATGACACACTAGTTTGCATTGGGCCTAAAACTAAAAATCCCAACCATTGCGCCATATTGCAAACTACAGTAGATCTAGTCTAACACCCAGGCCAACAGAGGTTTGCAGATAGCTTTTCTCGAGTTTCCTTTGACTGCTGAGATCATGGCTAAGATTAATAAAGAGCAGAGAGCTTTTTGTTTTCGACATTTCCTCACCACCAACTCATTTTGTAAGTTTCGAACAAGGTACAGAAATAATATTAAAGTGCCCTTAAGGCCTTCTTTGATGTCGAGGGTGGAAATTATGGTCCATCAGTTAGGACATGTAGAGAATCAGAACTAAAAATTCCCTGACAAAACGACCATTTCAGGTCAAACACACTCTGTTTGCACCCTTTTAAACGTCACCAGGGTGCAGAATTCAGTAGTCGAGTCCCATGAGACGTCTGTGCGCAGACGATGTCTGCAGCAATGACTTTCCATCATCTCAACGGTCCGCATTCTCAAGGAAGATCTGCATCTACGACTGTACCATTTCCACGTTCGAGAAGCTATCTGAGGATAGTACAAGATATCCCTCTGAAAAATATATTATCTATACATATTTTGTTTTATTTCAGGGACTTTGTTATTTTCCGGGGAACATCTGCCATTTTGAACCAGAATGTTTTGGCTAAAGGATGTAATATCCCTCTAAACAACGCGTGAAATAATAATGAAGTCTGTTCAATTTGAACCTGTAAAAATAATAGAAGTGAAGTTCAACTGTTCTTTGGAGATATAGATAGATAGATAGATAGATAGATAGATAGATAGATAGATAGATAGATAAATAGATAGATAGATAGATAGATAGATAGATAGATAGAGAGATAGAGAGATAGAGAGATAGAGAGATAGATAGATAAAGAAAGAGAAAATAAGAGAGACAAAGATAAAGTCACAGAGAGAGGTTGTCCGAGAGACAGGGAGAGAGACAGACAGACAGACAGAAAACAGACAACCAGACAGACAGACAGACGTACCTAAAGAAAATAAAGGGACTTCCCACCATTTACAGCCAATGAGAAAAACGGTTGAGATGTGCAGGTGCAGATAAATTTTATGTTAGGTCTTTTAGTTTTTTAAAAAAACACGAAAAAAGTATTTAAAGTAACTATTGAATAAAAGCGAAAAAACCCAAAAAACTTTCAGCCAAGGCGCAGCGGAGCTGGTCGACCGTCCCAAAAGGACTGTTTCTGGGACAATAATTAAATATTATTATTGCTTGCAACGCCCAATAAACTTTGAATGCCATCGGGGTTAGCAGAGTCAGCCTGCGCCCTCGAGCTACTGCCTGAATGAATAAGCAACCAAACGCTCGGGAAAGAGCACGTGAATACAAGAGAGAAGGGGGAGGCTTCCTTCATCCTTCCTTCCCCTCTCTCACTCACGTTCGGAAGGAGAGTGCTGGGCATCGATCTATTCGTTTCTCTGGTACTTGGATAACCGAGTTTTAGACGTACTCACTGTTTGTGATGAACTGGTTTCGTTTTTTTAACTAAGATAAACTGGTTTCACTTCTTTAACAAATATAAACTGGTTTCAATCTTTCTGGAGAATGTTTCGAGAGGACCCACGTCATATAAAGCAGGCATCTGTTTGAACTATGAATGTAAAATGTAATCGTGTTCCAACACATTATTTTATATCGAATATAGTAACACCCGTAGAGTGCTAGTTTACGCATTCGAAAACTTGGTAGCGCCAGGGTATATCGAAAGGTTTAGTTCCCGTATCTCTTCAGTACTCTTTAAGTTTTAGCAGAAATTTTACGGCGCTCGCAACTGCATAAGGTCATATGAGCGCCAGAAGATTATAGGTGTTACAAGAGAGTAACAAACATGAAAAGGAAAAAGGGGAGATAAGACGAAAGAAGTTTGATAGGAAAGAAGGAACAAACCACACCAGAGCATCTGCCAACCACCCACCTTCACAAGTCTGAAACCTTTTTTTCACAAATATTGAAACACTTCTGAGAAAGTGATTCGAGTATAACAATGGTTTGTATAATGTATACAGTGGAAGATATTGAACAAGTATTCTTTGTTGGAAAAAAATAATAACCGGTTAACCGAAGAATTGATTTCTGTCCAGCTCACGCACGAACTGTACGCGCGTTTATGTCGCTAGTCGCTGCTCACATTCATTTCTTTCTAGTTGAGCCAGGAGTTACGCGCAGTCTTTGTAGTTTGTGTGTATCTGTCACGCGTTGCTTGGCTAGATGAAACGTGTATGTCCCGATTGTAATGAAGGGAACGACATTATGTTTTAATATTATTTCTCCCTCTCTCTCTCGTGCATTTGCCGAGTCCGTCTTGTTTGGATTAATTTCGAACAAACGGATTAACTAAGGATATTATCGGAAGAAGTCGGAGCATGTTTTGAGTGGCCAGGAGGAAAAAAATGGTAAATACATTTTAAGAAAGATACATTTTAACTTTCTTCATTTTGCCATCACTTTCATTGTCACCAATATCAGCTATATGAGTTAACCTTAACCCTATCCGTACGCCCTGGGGCCATTTCGTGCCCCAGGGTTGTATTCTTCACTTTTTAGAATACTTCTAATATAGTACGAAAATCTCTTTGAAACTTTCAGTATTTCTCAAAAAAACCATTTTGACAGACTGCTATGCAAAGCGTACGGATCGTATTAACGAGTAAATTTCCTCTTTGGAAAGTGGTGGCACAGAGTTGTCTACGTCGTATGGATACGATTGTAAAACACGACGTGCGGATAGGGTTAAGCAACTTTTTAGGGGCTTTGTTAGTATTTCAGTACATTGCTGCGATCAAATAAATATAGTTTGTTATTGCTTTTCTTTAAAAATACACGCACTCTCGCACGTACCCACACAAACACACACACACACACACACACACACACACACACACACACACACACACACACACACACACACACACACACACACACACACATACACACACGTATACACACACACAAACATACACTTAATGTCGTGCACACATGCCGTACGCATGCGCGCAAGCACGCTCGCTTGAATTTTATTAACAGATTCTCCCTATACACACCTCGCAGTCATCACCAGATTCAGTAGCAGCATTGTTATTACACACTTGTTTTGAAAAACACAAAAAACCATGGGCAGTTGCGTTTGCGGGGAATTTACAACATTATTACTTCTTCATTGTGTATTAATGGAGCTTTATTGGCAACCCGATTTAAAAAAGTAAATGTAAAAGCTATATTATGAACAGGCGTCGTCATTAACGCACATTTATATGGTGCGCATAAATTATACTAAACGTCAAGTGGGCATGAAACTTGGGGAAACTTGTGTGCATAAACATGGGGTTGGAAGCAATGACTAGTGAATTTAGGTGAGTGCTAGCTATGTGTTGAAATCATCATCATCATCATCATCATCATCATCATCATCATCATCATCATCATCATCATCATCATCATCATCATCATCATCATCGTCATCATCATCATCATCATCATCACATTTTTCTCTTTTGTAGTAAAAAAAACCCAGCAACCGCATTATTAATTTAGATAATTCCTTCATTGTCTATACACACTTTATCTACTCCCCCCCCCCCTTAGAACGAATAATGTATGATGCAGGTGGTGCATTTATTTCTGTAATCTGTTTTATAGACACTCCAAGCACAGCTGCTGTGCGCTCATATGACCTAATATGCATTTGCGAGCGCCGTATAACTCCCCCTCAAAAAAAATTAATTAATTAAAATTTATTTTTAAAAATATTTTCTTTCTCTAAAATACACAGCTGAAGTTGAAGGCTGAAGTGCTATTTGTGAAGTCTCTTTTTAACGTTCTAATAACGTTAATAATGTTTTGTTTTAGTAGAGGTTTTACGGCGCTCGCAACTGCATAAGGTCATACGAGTGCCAGAAGATTAGAGGTGTTACAAGAGAGTAACAAACATAAAAAAGAAGGAGGGGGGAGATGCGGACGATAGATGTTTGATAGGAAAGAAGAAGCAAACCACACCACAGCACCTGCCAACCACCCACAGGCTTTTGTTTTTAAAATATCGATAGCTCAATAGCTTATTTTCGTGTCATGCAGGACTATTCGAGGCAAGTTTCTTCTTCGAGTCCCCGAACAGGACTTTAAAAAAATTTGCATTTGAAGAGCTCTTCACTTGTCCCAGTTTTTTCTTAGTACGAAACAAAACAAAACAAAACAAAACAAAAAAAAAAAGTGGACGTCTACTTTTGAAACGCTCTCTCTTGAATAACATGTCACGTATGAGTGATAGCCACTACCCATATACTCTGCGACAGGAACTCTTTTTATCGAAGCCGCACTGTCACGTTACGACGGCGTCAAATTCATGCTTATTGGGAAAGGTCGTTCTGTGTACAGCAGATGTTACCTAACTGAGCATAACATTGTCACGATTATGTATCCCATCTTTATGGTTAGTACCCAAGTACACTTTCTGTCACTATTACCATACATGCTGTTCCTTTTCTGCATCGGTCTTGTTAAATATTATATATATATATTATGTGTGTGTGTGTGTGTGTGTGAGGAAGCGTGGTGGAATCAGGCTCTCGTCAATGTTGGGGCTTGTAGAGTTATTAATATCATCTTAAAGCTTATTAACTTGTATTTATTTGGATGGAAAAATATTCATTTATCTTGAATACAAGTGGAGATATTAGCGAAAGAAGGAGGTAGGGGTCACCTGTTTTCAGATGTAAAATTAGTGAGAAAATGGCCGCAAAGATTAGTTATTTCCTTAGCTTAAGAGTCCGTGGCAACTGAACATTGACATTTTTGTGCATTTATTCAACGCTTTTCAGAAATGTCCACACAGAAATGTGTTCTTTAATGGGCATAAAAGGCGTTGAGCCAAAACCCCCCCAAAAATTTGATAAAAATTCACAAACGGAAAAATGCAAGTTTCTTCACTTTGATTATTTTGACGAGAGCCTGATTCCACCACGCTGCCTCCCTCTCTCTCTCTCTTTCACACACACACACACACACACACACACACACACACACACACACACACACACACACACACACACAAATAAGATACAATTTTATATATATATATATATATATATATATATATATATATATATATATATATATATATATATATATATATATAACAAATTCATATTATTGTTTTTAGTAAGAGGTATTTTTGTTTATGACGTGACATCTAAAAATTAGTAAAAAGCAATATGTTTCAATCTCGAATATAGCAGTATTCGAGCAGGTCAGTCTGAAGCATTTGTTAGTGACAAATCTTTGTGGAAGCCACCCAAACACGTTTTTTATTTTTGTTTTGTTTTTTATTCATGGTTGTTTTTTAGCGAGCGACTTAATTTTACAAATCTAGTGGTTTCTAAACATGTTTGCGAAATCAAAATGTTTGCGAAATGTTGAAAGGGGTGCTAGGACTACTGTTTTGGGGCACACAAGTCACCGGCAAATTTTCAGTTAGCATTATGTTTTAAAAATAATTTCCCTCAAACATTTTTTCACTTTTTTAATGCATTTCTCTGCTCTTTCTATGATTTCATCAGTGTCGCATTGATGAAAAGGGCCGTAATACACCTGTGTGTCAGCAGCGAAAGATTGGTAGCTTGTACTGTGGTTACTTCTCTGCCTTTTGGAGCACTGACGACCGCGCCCGGCTGTCTCAGAGAGCGTTGTCTTACACTTACACACGCCAAAAACAGCCTGCAAAATACCATCCTGACACCTGCGTATATATGCCTGCGTTCTACAGGCTTCGGGTACAGAGAAAAGTGCTCTCTTGTCTTTTCTGAGAGCAATAGGTTCTATCGTCACCATTAGATTCGATGGCGGACCTACATGTGACGTAACATCGTTTATTTACGGTTCCAGCTGCGAATAAGCCAAGGGGAACATGATAAAGATGGTACATTATTTTCTTTATTAATGAAAGTAAAAGCAGTACTAGTCTTCTCTGACGTGTTGAGATACCTGACATTCTTTCTACTTGAGCGACGTGTGAGGTAGGATCTCTGCTCAAGTTCAACAACAGATACTTATCTTCATTGTGTCCCGACTAATGTTTACTTTCTGTACTGATTGCATACTGCCTGAGGATCTGAAGAGGCTTCCTTCTCGGGAAAAAAACTTTTCACTGCTAGCGGTCTTCGTGTGCTCAAGTACTCTTGACGATAATGGCCACAGCTTTAGAGTATAGTTCAACGCTTCGATTTGTGACGGGCTCTGCTTTACATACACATTAGGAAAGCTCTTATTCCAGTCTACATTCAGTAGCTGTAGCTTGTGAATGCGTTTGTAGGTGTCTCGTTGTGTATATTATCTTGCTTACTTTTTCCTTTTTCTTCTTTTCCTTCTGTTTTATTTCTGGTCGTATGCTCTCGCTGCTAAATCGTCTGTCTGTAGTTTTGACACCTACAGAAGGAGCTGCCCAGTTTGTCACAAATTGGTTGTGTAGAGACCGTTCCTCTTAAACGTCAATTCAGTTGTAGTTCAATATTTCCCCTTTTTGTATGCAAGTCAAATTAACTTACTCTACACAATTTTAACAATTATTGTTCTTTCGTTTAAAAAAAAACAATTGAAAAATGAAATTCAATCCCTACAAACAATCAATCGTTCATCTACTCTTTTTGAGAACGTCAGTGGTAACTTCCATTGTGCAGGGCACTGTCGAGGCCTGTGGAAAACTTGGCCTGTGACATACTGGCGTGCTTTCCTTTGACATTAAGGTTGAAACTTGTCAACAACAGCCCCGCAAACTGAAACAAATGTGAGCTATTGTAGCCTATACGTGATAATTTAATATTTAAAAAATCCTAGACAGCGTCTCGCACAACAGGTGAATGTAGGGAAAAAATGTCAGGCTCAACCAAGACATCGCTTTGACGTCAAATGTTGCACGACGTGGTGGAATTAGGCGCTCGTCAGTTTTTTGGGAATGTGAAGTTATTGGTATCATCTGAAAGCTGATTTATTTGCCTTGCTTCCAATGAAATAAATATCCATCTATCGTGTATAGAACTCCGAGATATTTGCGATTGAAAAAAGTGAGGTCGCCTGGTTTCAGCAGTGAAATTAGCTTGAAAATGGCCGCCAAACTTTAGTAACTCCAATAGCTAAAGAGTCAGGGAAAATTGAAAAATAATTTATTTTGTGTCTTTAATCAATATTTTTCAGTAACAATTGACATGGAAATGTGTTTTTATATGGACTTAAAAAAGGTTAAGCTCCCCAAAAAAAAATTCCTTAAAAATGTCCAAACTAGTCGAATAATGCCTGTTTCTCCGATTTCGTTATTTTGACAAGCGCCTGATTCTACCATGTCGTGACTCAAATTATGTCAAGTTGGTGCCGCAAAATATCGTCCTGGGGGACTTCAACTGGCTTG